GGGTTTAGGGCTTAGATCAGAATAAGAATAAGAATAAGAATAAGAATAAGAATAAGAATAAGAATAAGAATAAGAATAAGAATAAGAATAACAACAGTAATAAGAACAAGAAGAAAACAACAAGAAAAATAATTAAGAAGAAGACGAAGAACAAGAATAGCAATGATCATTAGAATGAATGTAAGTAAGAAGCGGCTAACAGCCCGCAAACCCATACACCCTACCTTGAAGGTTTGCAACAGCGCTGTCGTGCAGGTGCTGTCGTTCGAACCTGAAAAATGCCGCTAATACGCTAATACAGGGGTCTGAAAATTTAGCATGGAGTCTTGGGGGGTTCTTATGGAAGAATTCCTGCAATTACAAAGGGACCATAAGGGAAGATGATTAGTAATTACTCCGACCCCTATGTGAGGGGCCAAATTCGAAAGCGCCACCACTCTCGTCGGTGGAAGAACTGTAACAGGCATCACCCTAAACCCTAAACCCTAAACCCCTTAAATCAAAATGCTGTAGGTAGACAGGGTCCCAGGATTAGCATGCGGGTCATCTGAACCCCCTCCCGCCCGCGATCCTGGTCCATGTGTGAGGGACTGGCTGGGATGCCTTGCGCATAGGGTTTAGGGTTTAGGCTTTAGGGTTTCGGGTTTAAGGCTTCTGGAAAGTGAGGCTCAGATCGGACATTCAGGGTCGATGGCTGAGGGTTCGGGGCTTTGGACCCTAAACCATAAACCCTAAACCTTATAGGGTTTAGTAGGCGTGGCTTGCAAGTGAGGTGTGGGCTCATAGGGTGTAAAGTTTTAGGGTCTGCAGTTCAGGGTTTAGGGTGTTTGGGGTGTTTAGGGTGTTTGGGGTGTTTGGGGTGTTTCGGGTGTTTAGGGTGTTTAGGGTTTAGGGTTTAGGGTTTAGGGCAGCTGGTTCTGGGCTTGGGGTGTTTCTGAGAGATGCGGGACTTGGTAGACAGGGCAAGCGCCTTTGCTAAGGCTCAGGATCCAGATCGCACCCGAATGAGGCCAGCATTTCTTAAGCCTAGGAGAGCCTGAGGTTTAGGAGGGTTTGGGGAGGGGTTTAGGGTTTAGGGTTTAGGGTTTAGGGTTTCGGGTTTAAGGTGTAGGGTTTCGGGGATCGGGTGTAGGGCTTTACCCACTTGGTGATGGTTCTGGACTTTTTGTGCAAATGAACTCATGAGAACCACCAGGGCCCCACTCCTCGTCGTCTACACGCTCAGCCTCCACTCCATGCTCGTTCAGCCCCTTCCGAAACCCTAAACCCTAAACCCTAAACCCTAAACCCTAAACCCTAAACCCTAAACCCTAAATCCCAAACCCTAAACCCTAAACCCTAAACTTCAGGGGCACAAGGAGGGATCCCTGGAAGGGACCCTGAGTCATAATCCCCTACATAACCCGCATGTACCGAGGAGGCCCCTACAGAGCCCCCCAAATAACGCCTAGGTCCCTTATAAGGGTCTCTCCTTTAGTCCCTAAACCCTAAACCCTAAACCCTGAAGAACCCTGAACCCTAAACCCTAAATCCTAAACCCTAAACATAAATGGCCCAACCCACAATGGCCTACTAAGCCTGCATTTTGCCATGAGGTGGGGGGATTTGGTATAAGGTTGAGCGTTTAGGGTTTCGGGGGTGCAGGCCATGACTATGGGCAATTGCTTTGGAAAGCGCGGAACCTTGAAGAGTTCAAGTCTACGGCCATTCGATGGGAGCTCACCAGTCCATTCCCAGAAGCCCGCCAACCCCCCAGAACAACTCGCCTTGAACTTTCCTGAAATTGCCCCCAACACTTTGAAATTCAGGACACCTGAAACCGTAAAGCCCAAACCCGAGACCCTAAATTAGAAGCTCGCCCTTCCCCTCTCGCCCTGAAATCCAAACACGCAGCATTGGCGTGCCTTCGCCCTCGATCGGCCTGGGCTAGTCAAACCTCCAAACGCCTCTACACGATCCGGATCCACCCTAAACCCTAAACCCTAAACCCTAAACCCTAAACCCTAAACCCTAAAAATAGTTCTCTCATGTTCTCTGTACTTCTAGTTTTTTTGGAACTTTACTGTACTGTCGCTTGGTTCAGAGCTCCGGACTGTGGCCGAGTCGTTTTGTAGCCAAGCACTGGTAAGGCTAACTCACTCAACGTTGTGAACTCTCCATTGAAGATGCCGAGCGAAGTAGCTGTGGGGTGCAAAAACTTGAGCCATTACATCGGTAGGTCGTTAAGAGGAGGGGGCTTGTAGCGAGTGTTTGGGGTCGTACATGTGTATATAAACCCTAACCCTAGACGGTACACCCCAAGCCTATGTATACACAAACCTGCTAGAAGTACAGAATGCCGCACATGGTGTTCGCAGATTAACTCAACAAAAACACAGCTCAACTCTCTGGACTAGACAGTCCGCCCCCTGAATCCCAAGACCCTACAAACTGTACCTCAAACCCAAAACCCTAAATCCTAAACCCTAAACCCTAAATCCTGCTAAGCCCTGAAGCTTGAATGCTAAACCCTAAACCCTAAACCCTAAACCCTAAGCCCTAAACCCCACATCTGCTGAGTTCCCAGACGGGACCCGGAGCTGTCTCCGGGCGACGAGGCTTGGTCTCTGCAGTCAAGGGCAATGTGGTGGCGCGAGCAGCCGGCGCCTCTCTCAGGGAGGTAAGGGTTTAGGGTTTAGGGTTTAGGGTTCAGGGTTTAGGGTTTAGAGTTTTTGGGGCTTAGGGTTTCAAATCATGTTTCAGCGTCCCTTCTAAACCCAAGGTAGGAAAAGATAGAACATCCCAAAAGCCAACCTAGCTGTCTTATAAAGGAAGCTGCAGGATTCGGGGTTTTGGGGCTTGGGGTCTAGACTCTAGGGGGTTTAGGGTACGGGGTTTGGGGATTAGAAGTTCAGAAGCTTGGAAGTTTCCTGGAGGGGGATTAGGTTAGTGTATACTTCCCTAAACTCTAAACCCTAAACCCTAAACCCTAAACCCTAAACCCTAAACCCTAAACCCTAAACCCTAAACCCTAAACCAGGGTTTGGGGGTTGGGCGCTGGAGCTGAGGGTGCTGGTGCAACGAGGAAGATCATGTCAGTCTCTCTGGCTCGCCCTTGGGGGTCCCCAACCCTAGTACGCCCTAACCCTAAACCCTAAACCCTAAACCCTCAACCCTAAACCCTAGCAAACCCTAGTAAACCCTGGTAAACCCTAGTAAGCCCTAGCAAACCCTAGTAAACTCTAGTAAACCCTAGTAAACTCTAGTAAACCCTAATGTACCCCAGAAAAACCTAAGTAAAACCTAGTAAACCCTAACCCGACACCCAACCTGTGACTTGACTGGCTCGGGTTTAGGTTCCGGAAGTTTTGCTTCTTGGGGCTTCCGTAGTATTAGGGTCTACCTGGTGAGTTCTCTAAATTGGGGGGGGGTCCCTGTTTGGGTACCCTGAATAAAAGGGCCCCCCCTTTAACAAGGACCCCAAATTGACCATAATCTTGATACCCAAGTAACCATATTGCAATAAGGGCACCCTTTCTTGGTTGGCTAATTTATATGGGAACCTTGAACCAAAAAAAGGGAAAACGGTACCCACTGGGCTACCAAGAGATTTAGAGAGACCACGACCAAGAAGCCTAAAGCCCTCATGTTCACTTCCTTTGGTGGAGACGGCGCCTAGTAAGCAAACTTCGCCCCCCCCGCAAGGATCGTACTCTCGGGACAACGGAGGGGTCTTCGAGGTTCAGTAGAGGGTTTAGGGCTTAGGGTTTAGGGTTCAGTACAGGGTCAAGTTGCTGGGAAATTTCGGGCGCCCATTGGGGCCCCTAGGATCAGGGTTGAGCGTTTAGGGTGTTCGGGTTGTAGGGTGTAGGGTTTAAACATTAAACCCTAAAACCCTAAACCCTCCATGGCATTTAGGGTTTAGGGTTTAGGGTTTAGGGTTTAAGGTTTAGGGTTTAGGGTTTAGGGTTTAGGGTTTAGCGTAACACTAAGCAGCCCCGAAACTGCCGAGCTGCCTCGTCAGGTGCACGCTGCCTTTGGCTCCTGGTGGAATGGTGCTGAGCCGGGCCCTACACCCTAAGTCCTCAAGCCTCTGTGGGTTTAGGGTTTAGGGTTTAGGGTTTAGGGTTTAGGGTTTAGGGTTTAGGGTTTAGGGTTTAGGGTTTAGGGTTTAGGGTTTAGGGTCTGGGATTTGGGGTTTAGGGCTAGTGGGCCATTCGTGGCAGAGTTGCCAGTTAATAGGGGGGCGGATGGCTTTCAACATGCCAATAATATTGGTGGTGGTTGCAGGGTACCATAGTAGCAATAGCAGTCGCAATGGTAAAGAGCAAGCCCACCCATAACTTTCGCATAAGGCCATTGAGCATGAAAACCCTAGAACTACCAACTACCATTTGCTTAAGAATCCCCACAAGACTGAAAGATAATGGTCCCGATATTGCCCTTGCAAGGAAGAACCTCTCCTAATTCCTTTTGGGGGTTGCGTAAGCAAAAAGTGGCCGGGTGCTCTGCAGGTCTACGGATGGCCCTCTTGCTTGACCCTCCATTTAAACCCTAAACCCTGAACCCTAAACACTAAACCCTAAACCCTAAACCGTGGCTTTTTGTGAGCTGCAGGCGCCCCCCCCCCCCCCGTGCTGTGTCGCAGAACTTTGTCTGCGCCGGCTTGTTGTACGCTGCCTGCATACACACACATATATACATATATATATATATACATATGTATGTATATATGTGTTTATTAATTTATTTTTTTATTTATTTATTGATTCACTGATTGATTTATTGATTTATTTCGCCACATCGGTCATGACGGAGAGTTGGAGAGCAACTGAAGTTGAAGAGGTATATTCTGCACAACGATCGACGACCGCCGTGCATTCCTCAGCCCTGGGCATGATACCAGAACTGATTCCTTAGTTGTCCAACACCTAGGGGTTTCAAATGTTAACCTTTGGGATTATAAGGGGAATAGATTAACCCAAAAAGGTTAAAGGTTACCTACTCTACTACTAAGATTCTCAACCGGAGTTGGATCCTGAGTCGTGGTGGTATTTGAGGAAGGGACTGCCGAAAGCCGTTGAGTCGTCCTCGGTGTCCGTCTGCGTGGATTCGCCTGTCTGCCAGCTTGCCCGGACTGCAGCCACCAGAAGTCCCAAAAATGCACCAAGTGGCACGTACACGATGAGCAACTTGTAGAACCTCTCTACGGCCTCTTCACTCGCTCTCCTGAGCTCGGCAGGGTTAGCTAAGGCAAGCAAAGGGCTATCGGCCGTCAGGTTCCCGGGGAACTGCCTCCCTGCAGTCTGCAGTAGCTGATGAAAGGTCTTCATGTTCGTGCTGTTGGCCGCCATGGCGGGCATGAAGAAGTTCATGCCAAACACCAGCCCACATACACCGGGCGTGCCGCAGTCTGCGGCTTTCGGTGGGTCGGGTCTCCTGACGACTTCCGAGTCTTCAGATGCCGTGATCGCCCAGGCGCATGCGCGAGGAGTGGTGCACGTTTTCGACAGTCGGGGGTCGCAGTTGAAAACTGGCCGAAGTCGAGCAAAGCCTCGGCTCTTGATAACTTGAACCAAGCCACCCATAAGACGGGTTGACAAAACAAACAGGGTGGCAAAAGCTCTTGGCCGCCGTAAGTTAATACAGGGGGGAAGGAATAGTTCAATATGAAACCCTAAACCCCAAACCCTAAACCCTAAACCCCAACCCCAAACCCTCAATCTTGCTTTGCAAGGTAAAGTTTCTTAAGTGAGCCCAGAAGCAAGGCGCCCAGTAGCTATCTCTTCCCGCGTTCAAAGACTGGACCCAGACGCCTGGGTAGCTCTTGGTTTGGTTCAGGGTTTAGGGTTTAGGGTTTAGGGTTTAGGGTTTAGGGTTTAGGGTTTAGGGTTTAGGGTTTAGGGTTTAGGGTTTAGGGTTTAGGGTTTAGGGTTTAGGGTTTAGGGTTTAGGGTTTAGGGTTTAGGGTTTAGGGTTTTCCGGGCTACAGGGTTCGGGGTTGAGGGTTCAGGGTTTAGGGTTGAGTTCAGGGTTTAGGGTTGAGGGTCTGTTTCCGGCAGAAGCACAGGGCTTCGGTTCAGGCTCCCGGGTTTAGGGTTCAAAGGTTGAATATTTAGGGCTTAGCGTATATACGTTACAAGCAGAAAGCTAACAAAACAACAAGAAACCGAACCGCTTTGAGCCCAGGACATACCTGGAGAGGGAAACCTGCTCGCCAAGGAAGACTGTGTAAGAAAGTACGGTCGTAGGACAGCTGTCGGTCAAGTACTAAGATGGGCAAAAACCCGCAAACCCTAAACCCTAAACCCTAAACCCTAAACCCTAAACCCTAAACCCTGCATCGAACTGAAATACGCGGCCCAAGAAGCACTGCTGGATGTCGAGCTTAATCACCGGAGGCATGCGCTCATCTTGGGTGAGGGCGCCGTCTTCGAAGTAGATGCCCCCCTTGAAATCTTTCCACCCCGCTGTGCTACAAAGGTCGACATCATGGAGCGGCTCAATCTCCATAAACTCCTTACGGCCCACTCTTTTGTGTGCAATCAACCAATATAAGTTTAAGATGTGGGTGGTTCTCAAAATGATGGTCCCTTTTTGGATCCCTATTATACTACGGCACCTAATATTTAGGGTACCTCAAAAGGCATCATAATTTTAACAGGCCCCCATGTAAGGTTCAGGGTTGGATGAAACTTGATTAAACCTCCATTGGCAATGAACGAAGCTACAAGAACGAATCGAGCTTCCGGAAGTTCAGCACATATGAAGTAGGGTTTATATCCCTTCTATTCCCAAAGAACTGACAACATTTATAAGGAACCCTATATACACGCCCCGAAATAACAGGGGCCGCATGCGGCCGCCTTAGAAATGCAACCGCAAAAGGGACAATATTTTTCGAGAAACCACCCTAAACTCGAAAACCTTAACCCGACTTAACCCTGAACGCTAAACCTTCTCTGCCTATGAATACTTAATGAAAGGTTTGGTTTCTGGGGTTTTGCGCCCCGCACCGTTGCTCATAGCCCCCCTGCCTGGACCCTTCTGGCGGCCCCCCTGAAACCTCTCCTGAATACCTTGAAAACTTTCGGGACCGAACTTTCATAGGGTTTAGGGTTTATAAGGACTTCGGGCTGGGTTTCGACTTTTTGGTGCAAGTTTCTGGCGTGTCCCTGGACGAGGAGCTGACCCTTTCCCGACCCCTCACACAGACACGAAATTAAGCTTTTTGAAGGAGGACTGTACTACTATTTGCTTGAGAACACCAAAAGAATAAAACAGAATAATCCCTGCATTACCCTTAATAAGGCAGAATATCTTTTTTTGGGGGGTTCTTCAGCAATTAGTAGTGTAGATAGGAAAAAGTGGATCTAAAAATCCAATGCAAAGGGATCCGGGGAATCCGGGGAGGCTGGGGTGATACCAACTGCATAGTGATGTAATGGGCCCCTGCGAATCGCCCAGGACAATCGTAAACCCTACACACGGAAACCTAAACCCCAAAGCCTAAAGCCAAGAGCCTGAACCCTCAACCCTAAACCCTAAACCCTAGACCCTAAACCCTAAACCCTAAACCCTAAACCCTAAACCCTAAACCCTCCCCTCTTCTTTATATCGTGAAGATCAAGAGTCTTGCTCGAACAGAACTGGAGAGGCCTTGCCAGTGGCATAGAACCTCACATGGCCCCAGAAAGCCTCTGAAAAAGGTTTAGGGTTTAGGGTTTAGGGTTTAGGGTTTAGGGTTTAGGGTTTAGGGTTTAGGGTTTAGGCTTTAAGAACAATATGATGGAAAACTCCTCTCAAGCCCAAGAAGGGAAGGTACGAAATCTCCTAAGGTCCTACCCCTAAACCCTAAACCCTAAACCCTAAACCCTAAACGCTAAACCCTAAACCCTAAACCCTAAACCCTGAACCCCTAGCGAGGAACAACCGAGGAACAAGATGAAGGCGCCCGGAAGGAAGCAGCCAGCAGTTGCGCAAAGGCCCAGGCAGCAGTTCCGCCCGAGTATGAAGCTCCACACTCTGAAATTGAAGGCCAATCCTCTTCTCTTAGGGTTTAGGGTTTAGGGTTTAGGGTTTAGGGTTTAGGGCTTAGGGCTTAGGGTTTCGGGTTTGGGGTTTAGGGCTTAGGGTTTTGGGGCACCCTTGTAAGAATCTGAGACACTCAAAAAGCAGTAGGAAATATTCCGTGGTATGTTCCCCCTTTTTGAGAGGGGGGGGGGGGGGGGGGGGGGGGAGGCGGGTTTGGGTGATCCTCCGAACATGATGCCAATCATGGTGATGAACATGATCCCGTAGAGCACGTAAGGGTGAAGGAGCTGCTGGTCCCAAGCTGTCTTCCAGTTCAGAAGAATCAGAGCGGCGACGGCGTAAAGAAGCAGCGAAACCTTGGAAAGGGAATCCTCATCTCTGGAGTCTTGGGGTGTAGGGTTTAGGTCTTGGGGTTAGAGGAGTTGGCTTTAAGTAGCCGCTGATGCGCAGTTCCAACATCTCTGTATCTAAGCCCAAGCCGAGCTATCCAGAAAATCCGAGAAATACACTGCCATTGGCAAGACGATCTAAAGACGGAAAGTTAAAGCCAAGCAAGATCTCCGCGAAACCGTGATGAAGCGAGTGATGGACTTTGGCGTCTCATCCGCAAATGGCTCCGCGGCCGCCATGAGAGCTGAGAAGCCCCAGGCGCGCCAGAGTGCTGACTCTTGAGCCCGACCCTAAACCCTAAACCCTCAACCCTAAACCCTAAACACTAAACCCTAAACCCTAAACCCTAAACCGATTCAGTTCTTGTTGCACCTGCGGCTTGTCGTACCTATATGCTGCTACTGTTTCTTGCATATTCCGTAAACCCGGAAGGCCCTGAAGCTTCCCAGAAGTGCTGAGTCAAGTGCTGAGTCAAAGCGTCGCATCAGCCTGTCACCCCGCAAAATGCACTTGTTGTTGAGGTTCTCAAGCCGCTGAAGCAAGCAAAGCTCAATGTCTTAGCGGGCACGCTATACATATACCTTTGTATATATATATATATATATATATCTGTATATATGGTGTATCTGTACGTATAATATGTGTATGTATGTATGTATGTCTGTATGTATGTGTCTAAATATAAATATAAATATGTATATATATATATATATATTACAACTACTTACTTTAAATAGATACACACATATGTATATATATATATATAAATGTTTAGTGCCTGCTATTCCTTTACAAGTAGTACACGTGTCATAGGCCGCCACCCGACCCCCAACCCCCCCCTCCCTCCCCCGACCCACCTAAGACTCGCGGCCCTGATCGTACAAAATGTGCGAAACTAAGCCCTGAGCCATAGGCTCGTCGGATTTTTAGGGCTTGGACCCAAAACCCTAAAGTCCGAACCAACCGAACCCTGAACACTGGACCCTGAACCTCCCTGAACCCTAAACCCTAATTCCTAAACCCTAAACCCTAAACCCTAAACCCTAAACCCTAAACCCTAAACCCTAAACCGATTGAACCCAGAAGCTGCAGCGTGCTCAGCGGCGGGCGTCGGAAGCTTCGGACCCTTTTGGTCCACAGCTGCCGGGGGAGAGCCTCGAGAGGCTTCCTATGGGGGTGGAGGGTTTAGGGTTTAGGGTTTAGGGTTTAGGAGTTTAGGGTTTAGGGTTTAAGGTTTAGGAGTTTAGGGTTTTGGAGTTTAGGAGTTTAGGAGTTTAGGGTTTATGGTATGGGGTTTAGGGATTTGGGGTATTTAGAGTTTCCCCAAAGTGAGGTTCCTGTTTTGGAGGAGGGGTTCTTCTTAAATTTATCATCAGGACTTTATTATTCTGTGGTGATGTAAGGGGTAGCCCCATCTTGGAAAATACCCACGTCCTGGGGCGCAAAGATAAAGCGCGTTTGGGGGGTTTAGTAGTGAAGTATCGGGGGTAGCTCCTATTTGTACAGGGTTGCCGACGGCGGTATTTACGAGTAAGCAGAGACATGCTTCAGCCCAATACCAAACACATCCTGCAACCCTGCTACCATCTTTCCTCTGCAGCTAAGCGCTCAACAAAAAAAATGGTTTAGGGTTTTATAGGGTTGTAGGGGGGGGTTTAGGGTTTAGGGTTTAGGGTTTAGGGTTTAGGGTTTAGGGTTTAGGGCACAAACCCTAAACCCATAAGTGCCAAAACTGACACTTTAACTCTCTACCATCCGACGAAGCCAAAAAAAACATGAACCCGAAACTTTTACTGCCACCCTCTCGAGCTGGGCATTGCTCGAAAACATTCAAACCCTAAACCCTAAACCCTAAACCCTAAACCCTAAACCCTTCAGGGTCTCCATCGTAGCGTTCCTGAGACTGCATCATGGGGCTCTGCCTTCCCTTTTTTCAGATCCTCTGCGGGAATCTAAGGGCCAAATTAGGAGTAAATTCAGGGAACCTCTTAGGGGTACATCCTCAGGAGTTCAAGATTGACTCCCTTGAGTGTGGAGGGTGAAAACCCTAGATCCTAAACCCTGGAACTCCACCCAGCTAACCCTAAACCCTAAACCCAGAACCCTGAAACCCCAACCTCAACCAGCTAGCCCTAAACCCTAAACCCTAAACCCTAAACCCTAAACCCTAAACCCTAAACCCTAAACCCCAAACCCCAAACCCCAAACCCTGACACCGCAACCTCAACCAGCTGACTTCCAAGGTGCGATTCATTGCTGACCTCGCCTGCCACGCTGCATCCTTGCTGCCAGAAGAAAGGGTTTAGGGTTTAGGGTTTAGGGTTTAGGGTTTAGGGTTTAGGGGGTTTAGGCGGTTTAGGGGGTCTAGGGGGTTTAGGGGGTTTAGGGGGTTTAGGGGGTTTAGGGGGTTTAGGGGGTTTAGGGTTTAGGCGGTTTAGGGTTTAGGGTTTAGGGTAACTTGAGCCCCTGTGGATGTACCCCTAAGAGGTTCCCTGAAAATGCTCCCAATATGGCCCTTATATTCCCTGGGAGGATCATTTTTAGGACTTGAAGGGGAGTTGGGTCTCGAAAGGAACTCTGCAGGGTTTAGGGTTTAGGGTTTAGGGTTTAGGGTTTAGGGTTTAGGCTTTAGGGTTTAGGGTTTTGGGACAACAAAGCCTTGGATTTCCCCTAAATCCTAGACCCTAACCTCTCAGCCCTAAACCCTAAGACTCGAAGGTTGTATTGGGGTCCATACTATAAGGGAATCCTACTGTTTTGGGCGTTTAACTTTGGGACTTGTGGGACTTTTTTCGGGCTTAGGGTTTAGGGGTGGGCTCGTAAGGGTGTGGGATGTGCGCAGTACCAAAGTACAAAAACCGCAAACCCTAAACCCTAAACCCTAAACCCTAAACCCTAAACCCTAAACCCTAAACCCGTAGGCCTTCAGGGACATGTCATAGCCGCCTGTGCTCTGCGGTGCGGGCCTGCCAAAACCCGATGCTTCGGATTTCAAAGGGTAGCATATTCAGGGTTGAGGGTTGAGGGTTTAGGGTTTTCTGGTGAATCAAAGGGCACATTCAGGGTCTTAGCGCTTGAGACTTCAATGTGGGCTTAAATGAGGCTATGAAGATTTGAGGGTTTGAGGCCCCACCACCCCGAAACTTACCCTCCCTGGGGTTGGGGACTAAACGGCTCTCTCAGGGTAAGGGTTTTAGGGTTTCAGGTGGGTCAAGGACAAGCCCTAACCACCCCCTAGTCCCTGGTTGACAGACAAGGGCTTTAGGGCTTAGGGTTTCGGGCTTGGGATTATACAAGCTTACAAACCCTAAACCCGAAACCTTTTCGGAGAAGCCCTCTGTGATCACTCGAGCCCCGCCAGGTTTCGGGCTTTTATAGATGTGTTTTTTTACATAGGGCTTAGAGGGATTATACAGTTCATTAGGTTGAGGAAACCCTAAGCCCTAAACCCTAAACCCTAAACCCTAAACCCTAAACCCTAAACCCTAGGTTCTGGGATTATACTCATGGTGTCTTAGGTTCAGGCTCTTCAAGGATTGGCACTCAGGGCTTCGGGGCACGAAGCCTGAACACCAAGAATGGCTTTTAGGGTTTAGGGTTTAGGGTTTAGGGTTTAGGGTTTAGGGTTTAGGGTTTAGGGTTTAGGGTTTAGGGTTCCCCTGAGCTCCCTGGTGCAAGAAGACCTGCCCCCCATGAACGAATTTAAAGGCCTCAATGGCTAGAATAGGCTTTTGGGGGCGGGATATTAGAGGATACTTTTATAGGGTTTAGGGTTTAGGGTTTAGGGATATTCTTCGTAAGTATTCCGACCCCTAGATTAGGGGGGACTCCAGCGGCCCGAGGCAGCGACCTGAAACTCGACAAAGCCCTTGAAACCGTGCCCAAAGCACGTCCTTAGGTTGCCCAGTAACCTAAACCCTAAACCCTAAACCTATAATCCCTAAACCCTAAACCCTAAAAACCAAAACCCTAAACCCTAAACCCTAAACCCCAAACCCTAGGATGAAAATTGGTGTCCTTTTTGGCTTGAAGGGGTTTCTAAGGGAACCGAACCCCCGCAAAAAAGAGATAATAAGGGTACTACTTGGTGTTGGCGGGCGTAAGCACCTTGTAAGGCCCCAAACCTCCAGATAGATTTTTGGGGGGTGCCCTTAACCTCCAAGCCCTGTCAACCCTAAACCCTAAACCCTAAAGCCTAAACCCTAAACCCTAAACCCTAAACCCTAACCCTAAACCCTAAACCCTAAACCCTAAACCCTAAACCTCTGATGAGACTCCTTGGAAAGTCCATGGCCATGTTGGTCATGGTGAGCTCCACATACCGCTGCAGCTCGTCAAACCTGCGAGCGGAAGTTCTCTCAGAGTCACAAGGGTGTAGGCCCTAAACCCTAAACCCTAAACCCCAAACCCTAAACCCTAAACCCTAAACCCTAAACCCCAAACCCTAAACCCTAAACCCCAAACCCTTTGGAGCCCTCTAAGGGTTTTGGGGCTCAGTGCTCAGGCTCGGTACACAATATTGGCCCTCCTGTCCTCTCATGGGCCATCATAGCACATGTCTACGGGGTCGTTACATGATCTAGATAGACCCCAAACACTAAACCCTAAACCCTAAACCCTAAACCCTAAACCCTAAACCCTAGGGTTTAGGGCTTAGGGTTGAGGGTTTAGGGCTTCAGGCCTTTAGGATCTGATCCCTCAAGATGGGCCCTGAAATGGGGGACCTGTTATGTACCCCTTATATGCCCGATCCTACTTCAGAAGCCTTTAAAGAAGGTAAGGGACTGCATTCAGGGCCATGAAACTACCCTTAGAATAGCCGGGGGGGGGGGGGGGGTTGAACCTCAGTTGTGGGCTCTTTATTTCTGTACATATTTTCGATGTTCATTTAGGGCATCAAAAAGGCATAAATGGGCAGACTGTTCTGGAACACGCATCTGTAGTTGAGATAATGAAGGAAGGGTAG